CGTCCCGTTCAGAAATATGTGTCGGCGGGACGGCGTTGCACGTTTGCAGTGACTGGAGCAGCTGTTGCTATGGACCAGCCTGGGAAGGTGCAGCATGGTCCAACCTACCTGCTTGAGAGGGAGGTCAGGAAATCCAGGGCCTGTGCAGGGAGCTGGCAAAATCCACCCGAGCAAAACTTCCAGGTGGAAAACAAAGGAAGTGTCCAGGAAAAAGACCTTGCGAAGTTTACCCCATGGCTGTGACACAGTGCTCTGGCTGTTCTCCTGAATCCAGATCTTCTGTTGCCGGACCTGAGAGATCCTGGGCTGGGCAACCACAGGGCTTGGAGCAGCGCTGCCTCCAACCAGGGTACAGACACGATGCAGGGAGCACCGGAGGAAATAAAATGTGGGAGCCTTCCACTCAGGGATGCGGTGCAGGCATTTATCCAGGGATTTGCTGTCTCAGCAGGAGTGCACAAAGAATACACGGAGCTTGATATGTTTGAAAACATGTCAGTCAGCAGTCAAACCCATGCACCAATGTATGTGAACAGCTCAGTGTGTTCCGTATATCTCAAGTATAGTTTCATGAGAGAAATTCAAGCTTTCAGGAGGGGAGTAGCTTTCCAAGAGAGTGTCTTCATATGTGTAAATTCAGCCTTGCGCATGAGAATCCAGATTCTGATCTGATCTTTTGAGTTTTTCCTATATAAGTACTAAATGATAATTTATCGTGTCTTCTGAACATGATCATGGATGCTCCCCCCCGCCTTCCCCCCCCCTAGTTTTGCAGCTCTGGGTGACATAGATGCTTCTAGAAATGTATGTTCATATAATTCCTGTCCAGTCTCCAGCACAGATCTTCCTGAGCAGGGATCTCCCAAGCTAGCCAGAATCCCTTCATTTGCATTTCTGTTTAAGAGAGAGTTAAATCCCCTTTATGTGCTATTTTGCCTTCTTTTCTTTTTCTGATTTATCTGCAGATGTTTCAGGACTGGAGTAGAGTGCTTAGAAGAAACCTCCCAGCTGATGAACAAAAGACAGTATTTAATTTAGTTACTTTCAAGTAATCCAGTCAAGCCATTCAGACATGTGTTGCCAAACAAGATCATCAAGGCTAAGAGGCTTGTATATATTATTCCTATTGTTCTGGTGAGTTATTTGCCTTGTACTTAGAGTAGTCTGTAAACTATTTCTCTCTATGTAATGAGAAGGAATCTTACACACGTAAAGAATTCTCCATGCTTCAGTTTACAGATGTGATTTAACAGTTCTTGCCGTGAGAGAGCTTGACGGAGAAATATCTGAGGTATCTAAAATATTATAAGAGAGGTCAGAAATAGCACCAAGAACTTAGGGCTGGCCACTTTTCTGAACTCATTCAGCTTG